GGCTGGACCCTATAGGAAAATATTCAGATACGGCTGCTCTTCCCGCTCAGGATCCACTTTTATAGCCAGGTTATCAAGCTATTGGTTAATGCTTGGCTCTGCAGCACAGATAAAAGGAGGCGGGGGGAGGACGGGGAGGAGGTGGGGTGACGTAAAAGCCCTGCACACGCATCAAAATGCACACATACATGTATGCACAGGGAGGGACACGCATAATGAAGCTGGGATGTTTCGGTCACTATTAGTGAGCACAAAGACGTTCAGGAGGCACAGAAATGCTGATTCTCTGGGTTTGTTTTTTAGAGTCTGAAAAACAAAATGGGAACAACATGAAACTTTTTTTTTTAATGCGGCTGTTTATGAGAAATGATCGCTGTTAGGGAAGGTTACATTATTGTGGAATTTGCCGTTTATGGCCATCAGATGTGTTACTGCCAGAACCTATGATGTGGGGAGAGTTGGTGTGATGGGAAGAGAGACCTTTATGACAAACACACAGACTGAACTTCTTTTTTTTTTTAGCTCTGGAGAGGGTCCACAGGCTCAAACACACACACACACACACACACACACACACACACACACTAAGAGAGGAAAATAACCAGGGCTGAGGGGGCGAGACGAAGGCCTCCTGGCAAACATGTTTGGCTGTCTCGTAAACATCTCATTTGATAATACGGGCTGAAGAGTTAACAGTTCATAGCCTCGCCCTTGCAGCGAGAGGATGCACACGCGTGCTTAAACACACACACACACACAGACAGACACTAAGCCGCACAAACCACAGCCAGCGTGCTACACAGACTCTCTGCTTTAACACTTCCAGGGACCACACACTGACTCAGAACACAGCCACTCACAGCAGGGACAAATAAGAGTGTGAGGTGCAAACACACAGCATGGGGGCGTGAGGGTGGACAAATAGTGTCAGTCCAGGACGGGTGATGCAGCTTTTATGAAACGCTCGCACAGTGCTGTAACATCCCATACGGACCGATGCCAAACCCATCCACCACAGCTCCCACCAGCCTCACCAGAACGGGAAGAACTGTGGAAGGGGGGGGCGGGAGAGCTGGGGAGCTCAGGTCTCAGCGTCCACATGCCAGAGGTTTCTCACTCACATTAGGTCTTGAATGAATTTAGCTGATGATGAAACTTGCACAGGGCTGAATGAGAGACATTGTGGAGATCTGCGAGTGAGCAGTGACGCCCACGGCCGGAGAGAGGAGCATCATTAGAGAAGCTCCTCTCTGCCCACAGAGGTCCTCCACTATCTAATCTGCACTTTAATAGTGCAGACACACCCATATTACGTGTGAACAGATAGCTGGGTTCACAGAGGGAGGCAGTGAGACTGGAGGAGTTACTGAAACACTGAAATGGAGGATTTGAAGTTGGATTAGTGCTGACACCATACTGTAAAAAAAAGACTGCTATTATTTTGACAGATATTGTGATTGCGATATAATTTACAATTAGTGGGGGTGATCATTTTTTATTACAATTTTCATTTTCACTGAAAAAAATGATTAAAATCAAGATGATGTGACGTTTGCTGGGGTCTTTAGGAAACACATGTTTTCTTTAATCTGGAGAACAGGATTTATAGGTCAGGGAATCTCTGCAGTAATACAGTAATTCATTATAATGCTGTTTGTCACACTTTTATCAAAAAATTGTAGCTTCTGCAATTAGCCTATTACATTTTTCCATATTGTGGTTTTAATAATATTCCAATTAATTGTGCAGCCATAAGTTATGTTATTGATTTCTTGCTCTAAATGAATTGAGATTGGTTAGACTGTGTTAAAGTGAAATTGACCTTTAAGAAGTTACAATAAATAAGAAATTAACAGCCAGGGGTGGATCTAGAGGAGTGGCAGCTGCCGTCCTTAGAAAATATGCCTGGCCGCCCCAGTCTAGTGACAAATTAAATTTAACAGATTAATTTAAATTAAAAATAACATGTTAACAGGCAGAAATGAATTTAATGATCTATTACAGCCAAATTTTAGACTAGGTGATAGGCTTACGTTCAATGAAGACGAGGAGATTTGGAAATAAAAGAGTTCATTGATCTCTAATGCCACCTTTAAATATTTCTATTAAGTGTTTTACTAATGTGCCACAATAATGAGTTTAAATATCTTCATTTGAGGGATTTTCCAAGCAAATAATGATATATGTGATTGTGATTAAATCAGCAGATATTTCTGCCACCCCTTAAAGTCTCCAGGACACCGTCTGGACCCCCCATGAGTATTTCTCTAGATCCACCCCTGGATATACCATGTGACATCTAACTAATACATGCAATGACTTAAATTTAATTTGAAAAATATTTGAAAATCACATTTGCCTGTATGCTGTGAATTTATGAACTGTGTAATGTCTCAAAGCCACATGTGAATATCGATTATTCACATTGTGCTCCACATATGATTATTATGTAAAATGTGCTTCCATGAATATTTCTCTAGATCCAACCCTGTAAAGACTAAAGGAATAAAATAATATATCAGCTTCTGAAAAAAACTACAAAGTCGAGCTAAAAAAACGTGACGTTATCTGCATGAAATTGTCGACCATGAATAATTTGCGCATCGCCATCAGCGCCTCAAATCTTCTCCTCGCCACTTTGCGGCAGAATGAAAAAAGCTACAGTTCAGTGAAAGCCAGACAAAATAGTCACAAGTCTCCCACTCTTTCTGACACGCGGACTCTTTACACATGCCCCCCCCCCTGCACGACCCGACAGACTTTTTTAACATCTGAGTAAACTTTAAACAGAGAGACGGGCCAGCAGAAACCTGCAGCCTCCCATCACATCAGCTGAAACGAATTCGTTTTTCCTCGCGGTTGCCTCCAAAGAATTCCGTGTTTTTATTTATTTATTTATGTATGTTATTTTTCTAGTGCTGGGGGGATCTGATGGACTCTTGTGGGAGAGAGAAAACGGGTACAGTGTCGGCCAGTGTTGGCTTATAACGCCTCACGGTGCCGTCATTATTATTTCTATTAATTATTAGGCCTATTCTAATCATATCCATTCTATTACACTTGCCGATACGTGTAAAATGTCTCTAAATATTCATCTGATTATCCAAATTCTCCACTCGCCACGCTTTACCTGCTCAGGTGAGAAATCCCGATTAAAGTGAGATTTCTGTGCACGGAAGCTGGCGTTTGACAGGCTGCAAACATATTAGCTGTTTGGATTGCTGCTGGCGGGTTTGCAAGAGAGGAGAGCCGTGAGTCAGTCTGCTCTTTCTTTAAATATCAGAGAGGACGACGGCAGAAGGTAGAAGCTGCTGTCAGGTAGAGAGCAGAAATAAGAGAATAAAACGCTTTTAATAAATATATTAAAGCGGGCACCTTGCTCCCGGACACCCAGCGCCTGCCCTGTCTGTGATACACTTCAAAACTTGTATTTAAAATTCACAATTCATTCAGAAATGTACACAAGGATGTGATTTGTAGTCTTTTAAAGCAGGACAAACTATTGCTCCTGACATGACGGCCTGCAGAAGGACTGGTTCTCATTTGGAGCCAAACGCATTTGGCTCGAGTTTCCTCTGATTACGCAGAGCAGACTGGAGGCCTCTCAGTCCCAAACACTGCCCAGTCCCCGCTCAGACCCGAGCTTTAGGGTCTCTCCATATTCCTGGATGTTTTCCGGACATTTTCACCTGTTGTGTGAAGCTATCTTCGCTCTGGGTGTGTGTGTCGCGGAGGTGAAAGGCCTCTGTACTGCAGCTTCCGAAAACACCCGCACCGTGTTCTACAGCTCTCTGTCCCCCCGCTATGTTTTATTCATCGTTTGTCCCGTTTGCTGGAGAACATGCAGTTTGAAAGTGTGTTAAACAGTAACAGCAGTAACACCTCTCAGTCATCGGTCAGCCATTATTATTTTCAAAAAGTTAAAAAGTGACAAAGCGGACAGAACCGCTGGACTGATGTTGTGACGCATTTTCAAAACCTTTTCTTGTTTTTTTTATTACTAAAGAGAATTTTTTTTTTTTTTTTTACCTTATCTGTGTTTTAATCTACACACACACACACACACACACACACACACACACACACACACACACACACACACACACACACACACACAACTACCCCAATCACCCATATATCACATATATATATATATATATATATAGAGAGAGAGAGAGAGAGAGAGAGAGAGAGAGAGAGATAAATAGGCCATATATAAAATCTCTGATGTAAATTATTCTGAACAATAAATCTTAAAATACTGCCCGCCAACGCTCCAAAAGAGCTTTAAAAAAGGAGCAAAACGCAGCCTGAAATATTTAACTTGCAATATGCACACAGGCTGAGCTCTTTAAGAACTCATAGGTGACACATCAGCATCTTGTTGCATATTTAAAATAATTCAAATACAATTCATATTTCGTTAAAAAAAAAAAAAAGAAAAAAAAAAACACCAAAACAATAGGCTACTGATAGTAAAGGAAATACATTTTACTTCGAGACACACCAAAGAGCCAAGAAGTTGCAACATTAATTAAATATGCCTGAATTTGTAAAAACTGATAATAAAGATTAATCTATCATTACTATAGAAAAATGACGAATTGCTAATGTATAGTTATGGAAATAACTTATATTATCTTAAGATAGATGGACTCATTAGCACTAACAACTATAATATGTGCCCTAGTAGTGGTGGTAATAATAATAATAATAATAATAATCATTTTTAGTTGTATTAAGTTTGGTATTAGTTTGATCAATGTCACTGACACATTAATACACTAATAGAATAATACACTCATAAATAATAATCAATTATTATTTGTATTTTTTAAATCATTTATCATTTATAACTATTTCATCATAATTTGCAGCCACTTTTATCATACACATGCTGCCTGTGTGTGTGAGTGTGTAACACAAGGGTGTGTGTGTGTGTGTGTGTGTGTGTGTGTGTGTGTGTGTGTGTGTGTGTGTGTGTGTGTGTAAGTACTCACTGTTTACGGCGTGTCTGAATCGCTGCTGGCCGCTGAGGAGGCTCTGTCCATTGATCAGGAGTATTGAATCCAGGGCTGGGCTGTGGTTCGGCTGTCCTGGGTACACGGGCGGATCACCACCGCTGGTCCTGGGCTGAATCTGGACTCGTCGGAGAGCCGGACCGGAGAGACGCAAAGGAGGGAAAGTTTAGTTAGAGGAGGTGGTGGCGGTGTGGGGCGGCGGGTGGAACGGCGACGATAGTGCGCAAGGCGGCGGAGTGGAGTGGAGAGGTGGACGCGGGACGCAGGAGGTGGACGGAGGATGCTCGTCTGTGTGTGGGGGAGTTGTGGGAGGGAGGGAGAGAGAGAGAGAGAGAGAGAGAGAGAGAGAGAGAGAGAGAGGGGGGAGGGAGACAGTTGTCCTGGAGTCGTGGACCCTTCTGTCGGACCTGAGCGCGCACAATATTGATATTTCAGATGCACTTTTTCCCGTCCTCCTTTTCTTTCCGCGTCTGTCCGCCTCTCAGCTGGAAACGCGGCTCAGTGGCACAAATCTGTCCTCTTAACTCGTGGCTTCATCCTCGAAAGAAGAGAGAGAGAGGGGGGAAAAGCACAAAAATAACGCGACGCCGCGGGGGAAACGCTCAGACGTGAGACAACCCGGAAGAAAAGGACATAAAGCTGACCGAAAGGCGCGCGGCGGTGTGTGAGTTACAGAGATAGCGGGCTTTTGTCGGTGCAGAGGACCAGGTTCCAATCAGACTGTGTCACTTTCAATCTTCCCTGTGCCAACGGGCGCACTGACTGACTGATAGAGGGAGGAGAGAAGGGAGGAGAGACAAAGAGAGAGAGAGAGAGGGGAGGGGAGGGAGTTTAGAGGGGGCGTCCAAAAGAACGGATCTGACCCATGGAAGCGTTTGGTGGGACGGATCTCGCTTGTAGGACACAGAGAGTGATATAAAAGTGTCCATCAGAAGTTTTTTTTGTTTTTGTTTTTTCAGAAATCGCTATTCTAAACACCTCCACGTCGGGGGGGGGGCACCCACAGTTGGTCCGTGGGCTGTGCAGACTCAGTTCTTTTCTCTTCACATGTTTAAAGAATGTCTGTTTTAACTTTTAAACAGTGTAATCATTTTCTAACCATATGTTACCGAAATCTTCCTCCCGGGGCCAGCATACTATCAGAAAGACCTTGACATTAAAAAAAAAAAAGATAGAGCGCTCTGTTGATACTTTTCCAGAGTGGGACATTTCTGCCTCACGCAGCACTAACTTATCGTGCTGCTATCAGCCCCCCTCTAATACTTTCACGCGTCGGTATCATCCCACAGATAATCCGCCCAAGCTGAAGTCCACGGCTGATACATGTTAATAAGTAGCCTAATAATAAGACAGATATGATCTCTCTCTCTCTCTCTCTCTCTCTCTCTCTCTCTGCATTCTCAGTCTGTCCTCATTAGACAATGGCAGCAGTGCGCGCTGTTGCGGGATGCCTGTTAATGATAAACCCGCCCCCCCCTCCTCACCCTCCACACAGTATATGAGAAATGGAAAAAAGCAAGCTAATGTTCTGCCCTCAGTATTCAGTGTTAAACCCACTGGATGTTGGTTTACATGTCGGCCAGCAGCAGCTGTGAGGAGGTCATCATTGTGGTCAGAGTCCTGCGCGCCGCAGCCAGTGCGCATTGTCTGAGCGGCCCCCTCTGTGTCTCTCTGAACATCCTACACATAGCAGCTGCTTTGAGAGTTAATACTGAAAATACAGATTACTGTAATAATGTTCGCTCGTTTTTACACAATATCGGCTGCCAGCTGTGCGTCAGGCCTGTGCGCATTTGGATCCAGATTGGCATGGATCATTTATATATTTATAAAATGCAGATGAGATTATTTCACTTTTTGCCACATCAGTATTTGTTTAACCCACTAACGGGGGTGAGAAATGTAAACTTATTTGAACAAAAATGAGACAGAATTGCTGTGATTGACCACAGTGTATGAATATTTGATGTTGTTCGAAAGATTTTTACGCAGCTTCCTCCTGTGTCTCAGTGGACGTACCGAGGCTCAGATTGCATGTACCACTGTAGGCCTGTCTATGGCCTTAAAGTAAACTGCAAGAAGGGAGCCCTTCATGCACATTTTTAACAGTAGCATGCGCAACCGAGTTGAGCAACTCAAATGAAGCCACAGGTTTGTCACATCTGCGACACCGTGAACTGTGCCGAAAATGCGCACAGGCACGCTGGCAGCAGTTCGGAGCGGTATGTTGCTGTGAGAGTAACCGCGGACGGATTAGTCCTGGCCTCTGGGTGTTCAGCTAGCGGGGTCCGCTAACAGAGCATGTTCCGCGTGTGTGCGTCGCCAGTCGTGCGCGCAGCTTTCCAGGAACGAGATTCAAGGCCTGCTTTTTGGAGCTCGTGGTCAAGAGCAGGTAGAACTTAACACAATCTGTGTGACTTAAAGCAAATGAAAACCATCATAAAGTTTACTGGTACAAACACTGAACAGACTGAGGTGAAAGCTGCGGAGGCTTAATTAAAACCTGCTTTGGAGAGAAGCGCTCTGCTGTCAGGATTAAAGACTCTTTACCACTTTACATTTACAGTCACATTAAGGCATGAGTCTCGCGCACTACATCAGGAGCGTGATCACCACCAACACCGTAAAAAACAGCCTTAACCCACCTTTTAATGAAGCCTGTTTATCAGCGTTAGGACACCTGGCTGCTCTGCTGCTGTGAAGTCAGGATTAAGTGGAAGCAGACGGTGGCTGAGAGCCAGTCCGCTTCTCTCTGCTCATTCGTCAATATTATTAAATATGATAATGACGGTGATGATGATGTCGGTGCGCGAGGCAGCAGCGTGAGAGAGACGTGTGCATTAAACGCAGGCCTAAAAGGACCGATGTGGCAAACCGAGTGTGTTTGTGCGTGAGAGATCTTATTAAAGAATTTCTGTACAGTAAAATGAACAGATTGGGATTGGAGTGAGGGTTGGTGGCGTTTACAAGTCTGCTGAATTCTCTCAGTTATTTTAATTCCACCGTAAAGGGCTCGTTAGACAGCGTTAAAGTCGATTTAAAGCTTTATTTCTCACCACGCAGGCTGGGGAGCCCAAAGTGTCTGCGGTTGTTTGGGATATTCAGCTCCAAACTTTCCCCTCTGGCGGAGGGGAAGAACGCTCTTTACCGACAGCCACGTGATCTGTAGTTGATTTTGATTTATAATAGACAATTATTTTGAGATGAAGTGGAGTAATCAGGGGCGGATCTAGATGGGTGGCAGCCCTAAACACCCCAGTTTGTCAAATTTAACACACAAATTTAGATTAATTTAAAAAAAAAATGTGCTAAAACCCGAAATGAATAAATAAAACATAAATGATAAAACAATGTATTGATTTCTAATAGATATTTATATCTAATGTGCCACAATAATGTTTTGAGTTCAAATATCTTCATTTGGCGGCTTTTCCAAGCAAATAATGATATATGTGATTGTGATTCAATCAGCAGATATTTCAGTCTCCATGCCACCCTCTGGACCCCCCCTGAATATTTCTCTAGATCCACCCCTGTCAGTGTTTGAAACTTGTTGGATTCCCATAAATATTTCGTTCTGTTGCTGCCTCACAAGATGCTTTAAATGTGTGAAGATGTTGTAACTGTCATGCATTTATTTCTGCTTAATCCAGTGTATTCCATGAAAATGTATTTTGGATGAAATCTAAAATCACTGCAGTTATGACGATTGAATCAAGTTTACACTGATCAAGAAAAATGAACTAAAATAACAGGAAAAATAAAATAAATTACAGACATATGTTCTCCTCTATATGTAAGTATTTAAATGATTTGTCTCAGATCAGGATAACATGTATAACACAGCCTTATTGTGTCAGGTTGAATTCAGAGTTTTGTCTGAAACCCGGTGAGAGGAGAATGAAGCGGGGAGCGCTGTGAACATGCACTGCTCTGTATTTACTCAGAGAAATGTTCTGTTAACTAACCGCATCATGCGTATCTCAACTCATCATGCGGAGACTCTGGGTCGCAGCAGGAGCGCTGAATTATTGAAGCCCCGGTAGGGAATCGTTTGCTTGCAGAGCTCCTCCGCTGCATCACTTACCAAACTCCTTCCCCCCTCTCTCTGTCTCTCTATTTTCCATTTCTTGGGCAACTAGGAGTCTAGGAACGAGCTCCAAACAGGCGTAAAAATCAAACCGTGGGGCGGAATGAAATATTGATCCCTGAAATAGCCCCGACGGAAAACAAATCCAGAGGACGGGTGTGAATTATTGATCATTGATTCTGCTAGTAGAACATGATAGTGAATGGAGAGTGATGTGGGCCAGATAGGGTTACCGTGTGCACATTTTCCGCACAGGTAAGTGGAGTGTGTCTGTGTGGGACTTCGAGGACACATTTCAGAATAAAAGCAGGGGCGGATCTCGAGAAATGAGGGGGCATTGGGGCCTTTAAGGGGTGGCAGAAATATCTGCTGATTTAATCACAAACAACATATTTTAATATTTGCTTGGAAAATCCCCCAAATGAAGAATATTACATTATTTTGGCACATTTTAAATAGAAACATTTAAAGTTGTTTTATTTCCAAATACATTTCTTTTTTTAAATTTAACTTAACCCATCGATGAGTCTAAAATGTGGCCATGACACATCATTAAACCAATTTCCGTTTTTAACATTATTTTTAAAATCAGTCTAAATGAATGTGTTAAATGTGACAGTATTCTACACCAAACTGGGGTGGCCAGGCATTTTTTAGGAGGAAACTGCTACCCCTTTAGATCTGACCTGACTAAAGACCAGTTAATTGGGGACAAGTGGGGATAAAAAGTGTCCCCAAGTAGGAAAAAGCTGATTTTGGTGTCACTGCTTAAGGTTAGGGAAAGTCTCCAGGAAATGAATGTAAGTGTGTGCGTGTGTGTGTGTGTGTGTGTGTGTGTGTGTGTGTGTGTGTGTGTGTGTGTGTGTGTGTGTGTGTGTGTGTGTGTGTGTGTCTGCGCGCGCGTGTGTGTGCATACGCCACCCCACCTCCGCTCCCATTTTTTTTAAAAGCAAAGAAAGACAATAATAACAGTCCTCTGTATATTTCACATGCAGGCAGCGGGCCGTTTACGCACAGTGATGGTGTGAGTTTAAGCAGAGCCGGCCTCCGGCACAAAGCTCATTTCAAATTCAAAAAGTCAGCAGAATCATTTAGAGAAGAATGTATCTGGCTTGGATCAGACAAAACCAAACATTTAATAAATAACCTCGAATTCCAAAGGATGCAGGACACGCACTCACAGAAACCCACAATTTAACTCCTGCAACTTTTATCCTGATGATAAAAAAAAAACAAAAGTGCGTCTCTGAACCGTCCCTGTGGAATCCCCATCAGGAGCTCTGCCACTCACCTGTTCCTGTAGCCTATATACCACTGTAGGTCACATCATGTGTCTGTTATTTGGTTCCGTGTGATTTGTCAGAACATCTGTTGAGGAACCCGGACGCATCGTTTGGTGCAAACAGCGCGGCTGTGTGGTGAAGAGGAAGACACAGAACCAACAGAGGGGACAGGAAAGACGAGGCCAGAGGCACCAAAGTCTTCATCGGAAAGACTAACGCAGGAGCCGGATGGAGCCTCTCAGAATGGCTCTACCCGTTCTATTGGAGCAGAGTGTGGGCTTTAAGTCCCTCCAGTGACAGATCCAAATGAACCCCAGAGAGGACTGTCCATCTGGGGCAGACGTTTAGCAGAGACAACATCCGTCACATCAGACAGGTTTTAGGTCGCTGGAAGCCTTCTTGATAC